GCACATATTACCACAGTTTAAAAAAAGCCATTCTTTTTCTCATCTCGTTGCGAATTATGATTTCGACCATATCACTTAATTCGTCTGTTTCTTTCGATCTTATCGAAATTTCTTTTCTTTCTTTTTTTCTACGTTTTCTATGTTTTCTTATCCTAACTAATGCCAATTAACGACTGTAACATAAATATATGTATATATATATATATATATATATATATCTTTTTCTTTTCTTTTTATTTCTTTTTTTTTTTTTTTTTTTTTTTTTTTTTTTTTGTTTAACGAATTTCATTTATGTATGGAAGCACAGGGTGCAGAACATTCGATTGGGTCATTTACGTTATTTGCATAATAACGAAAGTTCTTCGACTCTTCTCGCCTCGTTTACGACATGGTCCAATTCGTTCGTAACATTTTACGAAACTTTTTCGTTTTTATACATATGCATATACATACATGCACGCGCGCGCACATACACAAGTATATATGTGTTTATGCGTGTATACGAATAGATGTGAAAATATTCGCTTAATTTAAGAAATTGTATCGTTCGAACGAAATCGATCTCCTGTGTTCTCTTGCAGATATGCAAATAGCATTATTTTACAAGAACGCCTACATACATACATATATACATACGTACATACGTGTTACGTCTCGATGACGTGCCCTAAATCCTGCGGCGAAGTAACTCGGAAAAAAAGGCCGATCGAAAGCTCGTTATTACATGACACGATAATTAAAGAAATCGTCCAGGCCAGGTTTGCTCTCGCTCGATCGATTCACCTCCTGGCAAAGAATACTTCTCTCTCTCTCTTTTTCTTTTTTTTTTCGTTCGATCGTTCCTTTTTTTTTTTAATTTTTTTTTCTTTTTTTCTTCTTTTCCTGTCGATGATTCGCGAACGATCACGCGATATTATCGGTTCCTTTTGCGGAAACAGGCTGAAAGAGAGAAGGAGATTCGCGCGTTGGCCACCCATGCTCGCACGCGTGCCGCCTGTAAAAATCACAATAATATAAACAGCGGATACCCGTTTGCATTGAATCCCACGTTAGATTGCTTCACATGATCCGTTCACGATGACGATAGTCAAAGTAAAGAATCACTCGGAGAAATAGGGGACATGGACGGATGAAACATCGATATTTTCCATTAAAAAGATATATCCCACTTTTTTTCTCTTTTTCTTTCTAATACGCTTTTTCCTTTAAAACCCGTATAATTTATGTACAACGAAATTTCTTCAATAATATCATATGATAGGAGTTTGAAATTCGAAGAAAAAAAATGTCTCATGATAAAAGTTCTATATGATTTTAAGAAAAAGCTATATAACACGTATCGTATATGTAATATATCATTCCAAGAATATTAAATAGAAGAATTGTCACGTCCTGCATATTGGATATATGATTTTAAAACTTCCCGTAGGAATAATAGAAAAATGATTGAAACGTAGATGAAATGATCTATCATCGTCTTTGAACGGAGCGACAATTACGGAATCTAATTGCGTTAGTAGAGCTTCTGGGTGCTTGAGAAGGGTAACGCCTACGCACTCGTAAAACTCGTACCGATGATGGACTACTCTCCGTTGGTGCCTTCTCATGGCTACTTTTCTTCTTCTTATTATTATTTTTCTTCGTCTTCTTCTTCTTCTTCAAATGGTCTATCCTTCTCTGATTATTATTTCTCCCCCGAGACCGTTTTATAGGCCGTGTCGCTCGCGCTCATTGAAGCTGCACGAGCGAACGCGCGATGCAACTCGTTGCTCTTCCTCCGATTAAACTCGATCGTTAGATGGTCGTTGACTTTATGTCACGTATACGTGTGTCTACGATACCCACTGCAAATCACCGGATACGTCAGTGTTACTTCGCTTAAGAGATTGTCCAATTTATTTATTTATTTATTAATAAAATTATGCCTCACGGTTCATTTCTTTTTTATTTTTTTTAATATACCATAGGATCGTGTTTCTAACGCAACGCGTATAAAAAAATCTATTATGCTCGCTGAAAATCATTGGATTCATTAGAGTTTATTTCGTTTAGGAGGTTTCCATTCATTTATTAAATAAAGAGTCGTCCTCGTCGGAGTTCTGCTTTTTCTATGTAAAAATTTTGTTTTTAACGTAACGCGTATAAAAGTCTATTATACTCGCTGAAAATCATTGGATACGTCAAAGTTACTTCATTTAGAACGATACAGTTTATTTATTGATAAGGACTTGCTTCGTATTTTCTATTTTTTCGTTTCTTTTTTTTTTTTTTTTTTTTTTTTTTATGTAAAAATATACCATAGGGAATGTTTTAGCAATGCGATATATATAGAGGTCTATGATATTTGCTGCAAATTATCGGATATGTCGGTGTTACTTCGATTGAAAGGAGTGCACAGTTTATTTATTTACTTGTTTATTCATATCGCAGTTCATTCCTTCTTTTTTCTTTTCTTTTCTTTTTTCATTTTTTTTTTTTATATAAAAATATACGATAAGAGATAGCATTGTTAAAATAAAATATATAAAAGAATATATAATACCTATGTCTTGTCGAGCGCTCTTTATCATTGTTATCGCAACCCCTTTTTCTCTTTCATTTCGTTCCTCGCTACCCCTTTTTTCTCCAGCTTGCATCGTTTACGTAACAAAAAGGGTGAAGTATTTTTAAGATGCATATGGATTTCTTACGAAGAAGTAACATAATATTTTCATGCATATTCATTCACGGCGGTTTTTTTCAGTTTTTTTCTTTTTTTTTTTTTTTGTTCTTTTTTTTGTTACTATTCGATCGAGTCCGTGAAACGCTAATAGGATGGAAATTAAGGAATAAATAAATAATATTACATATTAGATAATCGAGATGGGCCCATCAGGTTCGTAATACTGTCTACCTCCGCGATTTGTAATAGAAAAAAATATGAGAATTATGTCACCTGTTTACGACAGTATCGCATTATAGCGTGGCGAAGAATGACATATTCATGGATCGATGTCGAAGGATAATCTACCTACTCGATTTCTCCTTACGCATATACGCATACGTTCTGCTTTTTCTTCTTCTTCTTCTTTTTCTTTGTTTTTCTCTTTTTTTTTTTTTTCTTTTTTTTTGAAATATGCAAAAGACAATAACAATGAACGAGTTATCAGTTGTTTATTTGATTAAAGAAGAGAAAAAAAAACAAAAGAAAAAGAAGAACAAATGGTCATAAGTCTCGACAAAATAGGATATGTATTGCGTAAAGATTTAATTCGTATCTTTTATCGAATCATTGAAGTCCACAAAGTGCGCAAGGTATCGATCGATGAATTGACTCTTAAGAGGACTGTTTGCTACATAAGTAAATTTACTTGGTAGAAGGAAAAAAGAAAAAAAGAAGAAAAAATTATGCATTAACACGTCCAACTTGAACGAACGAATTATACATAGTATATGCGATAATCGAAAGGAGCTTTTTCATATTCGTATTCACGATTCGATTTCTTATTTCTTTCTTCCTTTCTTCCTTCGTTTGCTTCTCTTTTATTCGTTCGTCCATTCGACGTGCCGTTGGACACAAAGCCCGTGGAAATCGACCGTTACCGGTTAACCTCCAAAGGCCATCTCCAGCTCCGTTAGCTGCGATGTCTCTTCGCTAGATGAGAGATAAAAAAGAGGGAAAAAAAAAAGAAAAAAGAAAAAAAAAATGAAGAAGAAAGATCAAGAATCTCCTACAATCTTAAAAGTCCTTCTTTCGAGACTTCTAACATAAATATTTTCCGAGTAATAATAGAAAAAAGAAAAAAAAAAAAAAGGAAAAAATAATGATAATTCAAAAGACACCACAGCTTTGATCATTTGATTTTTGTGATTTTTTTCTTTTTTCTTTTTTGTCTTTCTTTAGACTCGTGTACTCGGTAGGTACGAGGGTTCGCACAGGTCGTCGATTGGATAAGAACGAAAAGGAGAGAAGAAGAAGAAGAAGAAGCAACGACATCATTTTTGTGTATCGATTAAAACGAATAAAACCGATCGGCCTCGAAGAAAGAAGAAAGGTAATTTAACGGAGAAAGAAGGTGCATTCGATTTGGAACATTATCATCCTGGTAGCAAGAAGGATAGAGACAAAAAGAGATAAATAGAGAGAAAAGAGAGAGAAAAGAAAGAGAGAGAGAGAGAGAGAGAGAGAGAGAAAGAGAGAGAGACAGAGAAAGAAAGAGAAAGGAAGAGAAATCACAGGATGTCTTTCGGTACTAATCGATTCCCTTCGAGCCAGCACACGCGTTATCGCAGCAGCTGGGGACCATCTTCCGTTTCCGTCTTCGATCGTGCAGATGTACCTAGACCATCTCCCGAAGAAGAGGAGTACGCTGAATTCTATCACGAACGACTGCACTCGGCCCAAAGCAGACAACTAATTCCACTTCAGGAGGATTTAGCCGACTGGATCAACAAAACGATAAGTAAGTGCGTAAGATTGAATCTCAATGAATCTAATTACCCTTGGCTATGTTTCTTCTCTTCCTTTTTTTTTTCTTTTTTTTCTTCTTTTTGATATGACCTCTTTACTCAAAGAAAAAATACATACATGTATATAGGAGGGACACATTAAAGTCTTCTTCTTTTTTTTTTTTCTTTTTTCTTTCTTTTTTCGAAGGAAAAAGTACGCGAGTAATGGGAAGAAAAATTTCGGTGAACGACATTCAGTGAGAATGCACGCGTGGCTGTTTCTTATTGTTAAGCCGACCTCGAGGGAATGCAAAACTCGCGGGAAGAATGAGGTCGCTCTGAGAAAATTGTAAACCCGAGTCAGCTGTCGGAAATATATATATATATATATATCTATACGCATTAAAAGAAAAGTGTCGATCGTGTTCTCGCTTTTTATGATAGACGATATTGAAACAGAAATTTCCAAATTGTAAAATTCTAAAGGGCAAGAAAAGTAGATTAAAAAAGAAAAATTGTACGCGTGACTCGTAACTTTTGTTCTTAAATTAAACGAACGTTCATCCTTCTTCTTTATTTCAAAGAACTGTAGCGCACATTTAACCATATTCGTGAGAGAGTCCTCCCCTCCTCTATTTTGCGCATAATTTCCCTACTACACCTATTTTTCTCCACAAAAGAAGGTGAAAGGAAAGGAGTAAATTGGCTTGATGGTTACTAATTAACCGCAACTCACGTACCCTCCTCCCGTCCTTTTTCTTTTATAACGTGGCACGAGTTCAAGTAATTCGTATCATTGTTTTAAATCCTCGAGGTCGGATTTGATCCACCCCAATGGGAGAAGTTAAGAAGAGGGACAAAGATGGAGAACCTCTGAAAAACGTCGCATAGGGATGAACGTCCTTCTCTCGACATTTTGCTTGCTGCCACGTCGTGAGAAAAGCGATCTCGTGCTTCAACATCCAGTGGTTCTCAATCGGTCCAGCTTCTATATCAATTTACTTGATTTATTTATTTTGAATTTTATTACCAAATTGAGATATCGTAAATGCTCATGAATTAATAAATATTTCTAATATTTGCAAGATATCAAAGGAATATGAATTTTTCTCTCTTTCTTTTTTCTTTCTTTCTTTCTTTCTTTCTTTCTTTCTTTTACCCACGCCTGCCCCGTCCGAGCTCGTACAATCGCAATTCGTCTGACTCAACCGGATGTCGATCGGGTGCCTCTCCTTCGAGTGCCACTTCTCCCTTCTTCACGGTTACCTAAAGCCGCATTACGCATAAGCGAGAGCGTGTATACATGCCTTCCTTTCCACGCTTGCGCGTCCTCCGACCAAGAAAAAGAAGAAGATGACATTAGGGAAAGGGAGAAAGAGGAGGAGGAGGAAGTAGGAGAGGTCCTCCTTTTTCTCTTCGTCTTCGCCTATAGTTAATATCGTTCCTTCCTTTTTGTTTGCCAAAAAGAGACACGTCAGCGTATCGATGCTTCTCTATCTATCTAACGACGACACTCTTATGAATCAACGACGCCCGCGACGAGTGCTGTTGGCACCGATCAAGGAATTCCGCTGGCGCATCAGAAATTCATTGGATTCCGATCGATTCTACTTGTTGTCTATTGTGCACAAAAAGACGATAATCCCTTCGCCGGGCTAGTCGATTTAATTCAAATCATCTTACGTCGACTTTTACAAAGATTTGATCATAAATCGATGACATGTTTCAGACGTCGATTATATTACGGGCGATAACTTTTTCGATACGTTGGATAATGGCGTGGTGGTTTGCCGATTGGCTAAAGTTATACAGGAAAAGGCCAGATCGGCCGTCGACGCTGGTAAGGCGAAAGGGGTGAGTCTACTACTTTTCCGTCCTTTCTTCCAATTCTAATAATAACAATAATAATAATAATAATAATAATAATAATAATAATATATGCTGAGTGACTTTTGGGATTCTCTTTGTTCCAGCCGATACCGGTAATAAGAGGACGCTGTTGGGAGAATGCAGCAAGACGTAGCTTCTTCTCTCGCGACAATATGGAAAACTTTATACAATTTTGTCGTCGTTTAGGCGTACACGAGAATCTTCTTTTCGAAAGCGATGATCTTGGTGAGTGGATTATGTCATTCGTATTCTATACGTCAAAGGAGGATGTAAAATTTCAATGTTATATTTTTCTATTTCCGTGTTTCGTAGTGTTACATGGGCAACCACGCAATGTTGTACTCTGCCTATTGGAAGTAGCTAGATTGGCATCTAGGTATTCTTTGGAACCGCCTGGTCTCGTACAACTGGAAAGAGAAATCGCCGAGCAAGAACGAGATCTTCGTTGTCTCTCGGACAGTGGAATTTCTCACAGTAGTCTCGTCTCCTGGCAATTCGCATCTCCCTCGCCTACGGCAACGCCCCGGCCTCAAACTGAAAAGATTAAGCACAGTAGGTGAGTAGGAAAAATGTGTCTCCGGTTTAACGCCAGAATTATAACGTTTATTAATTTCTTCCATTTTTGTATAGTTCAACGTCAGAAGTAGCGGATATGACGAATCGTTGGTTGGATCCAACAACCGGTGCCACTCACGAACCCGAAATGAGACGATCCGTTAGCGATAATGGACCAGCCGGTAGCGATGGAGTACCTAGCGATACCACGGAGGACGATTGGTCTCGTGGTAGCGTTGAGGATCCCGATGACGTTCCATCGCCGTCACCCTCGCCAACTAGTTCGCCATCTCCAACGCAATCGCCGGCAGAACCTCCGGAATACACCGGACCGATCACGGAACTCGATCGCAAGGTCTATATTTTATTATTCTTAAAGAGGAAGGGCTAAATAATGAATGAATTTTTCTATTTTCTTTCTTCTTCTTTGCTTTTCTAAGAATCGTAATCGTGACCCTTATCTTATTATCTATATGTGTTCAGGTGCGGAGAGTTACGGAAGCCGTTCAAAGGCTTTGTCAATGTCCATCTGGTAAATGCTCGAGATTGAAAGTACGAAAAGTTGGAGAGGGTCGATATCACATCGCAGGGCGCAACGTGTTTATAAGGGTAGACTATGTTTACATCATTATCGATGATTTTAACGATGCACGGATATGCAGCTGCTAATATAACAACAACAACAACAATAATAATAATAATAATAATAATAATAATAATAATAATAATAATAATAATAATAATAATAACAACACAACAGTAATTATAGTAGCAATAATAATTAACGAGAACGCTTTATAAATACGTGTGTTCGCAGCTTCTGAAAGGAAGACACATGATGGTGAGAGTGGGCGGTGGGTGGGACACCTTGGAGCACTTCTTGGCGAGGCATGACCCCTGTCAGGTGAGGGCACTCAACCAAGAGGGTACACCACCTCCTACCCCTTCGTCTATTTCACGAGGCAGAAAGCACCGCGGCAACGACTTCCTTCGCATTCACGCCAAGTATCGTGGCCTTCCCTTGGAACCCGTCCCCATATCTGTCTCCGGGCGCTAGCCTAAAAGCCAACAGCAAGCACGGCATCATCGCTCGCACTCCTCGACCCTGCATATCACGTAATAGGGCTACACGGTACTAATTTACGGTAGCCAACCATCTTTCAAAGCTACTCGCTATTTTTTCTCTCTATCTCTCTGTCCCTATCTCTCTCACACACATTCTCTTACACGAACACACGCGTACACCCTGTGCGTTTTTATTTGATTTCACCTTCACGTTGGCTCCCAAGAGAGAGTATGCGTGTGCGTATGTATCAATGTATGTGTGTTTTACTCACGTTCTTTGTTTACAATTTTAATGGTTTAGAACAGGAAAGAATTGGCGATAAGCTCGCCTTCTCGTTTTTTTTTTCGCGTCCATCTCTCTTCTCTTAAGTTTTGTAAGAGAAGAAGGATGTCAGGGAATACGTTAGTACACTAACGTCCTTCCTTTTCTAGAGATTTCTAGAAAATGCAATGGTTGTCGTGAAACTCGTACGTTCCTACTTTATCTTCGCAGGTGCCGTTTGTCGCCTGAATTTATTAACGGAGAAATCAACATAATTAATGTGTAAAGGCGTATAGTTCAAAGTATTTAGTTCGAAGTCGAAATATTTATATGATTAGATGTTTATAAGAAACATCGTTTCTTTTCATCGGTTATCAATCGATAAAAAAATTCATTACCGAAAGAAAATGGGCCTATATAGTGCGAGTATCGTTGTGGTAGTTTAATCGATTGGCAAATAAAAACACGTAGACATATTTCTTCTTAATGTTATTAACTTTGAATGAATATTGTTTTTTTTTTTTTTCCTTTTTGTTCTTTTTAGCGATGAAACACAGTAGGTCTTTGAATCAACATTGAAACAGGTTCTTGTCCACTCCAAGTTCGTGAATGTTCCAGCCTTTAGATTAGATTCTTTAGAGCGAGAAAATACGATAGATGTTCGGAATGTACTCGCAACGAAATATTTTCGAGGATAGCTTCGAAGTATTTAGAGATAAGTATACGATTAAGCAAATTTATTATCTTCTCACACATTCCAAAGATTCTAATATCGTGGCTCGCGTATTCTCCGACAAGCTTGTCGTACGCACGATATGCCTACCGTATTCTACATCTCGATTTGTATCCATTTCAATCTAATGATAATATTTATATACATATATTGTATGTATATCGGATGCACCCGATCTCGCGGTTTTGCACAAGTGTAAAAAAATCGTGAGTCGTTTCATTGGGTGGCACGCCATCGTATATCATGAATATTCAATTTTTTACTACGCTTCCTGTAAAAAAAAAAAAAAAAAAAAAAAAGAAAAAGAAAAAAAAAGAAGAAAAGGAAAAAAAGAAAAAACGATTCGTACCAACGTCGTAGAGTCCCTTTTGATCTTCCGAGATTATTTTATCAACGATAAATAACGTGTTCGATACGTGACACCAATATAAAAGTTCACGATTCTTGTTGATTCTTGTTTGTAATACAATGTGTGCGGCTCTCGGAAATTCTTCGACGGAGATAAGAAGGAAATAAAAAAAAAATTAAAAAAAAAAAAAAAGAAAAAAAAGTCCGATGCAGCTTTAAATAAGTAGTCATAGCTTGAAAATATCGCAATGACCAAACTGTTCTTTCCGGCCGAGACGTATTCGAGGTTATCAAAAAAAAAAAAAAGAAAAAATAATAATAAATAAATGAATAAAAATGAAGATAAGAGTAAAAATAATATAAATTAGTATTAATAATAATAATAATAATAATAATAATAATAATAATAATAATAATAATAATAATAATAATAATAATAATAATAAAGAAAATAGTATTTTACGATCGATCAATTCTAGGATGCATAATCAATCTGTCGATGAACACACGAAGCCCCAATGAAACTCTCTGTGATTTTCGTAAGATAATCCGTTTGTAAGTTGGAAATGCGTGCGATCATTATTACAAAGGAAGAAAGTGCAATTAGTCTCAGGTAGAATGTTATGCGTATAAAAGGAAAGAAAGAAAAGACAAAAAAAAGTTTTGCCTTCTCCATTTATAATTAATAGGGAAAGAAAGAAAAACCAGTATCAGCGGAGTCGCCTCTATGATCGGATTAACATTAATAAATGATAAGATTTGATAACTTAACAATATACATTTTGATACGTCGATATATTCTTAAAAAAATTTTCAAACGTACACGTAATCGAAAAGAGAAAACGAGGAAAAGGAAAATGAAGAGGAAAAAGAGGAGAGATAATAAAAATTTTTAAAATGCGTATCATTCTATAAGCAAAATACATTTGTACGTTAAAAAGACATTAAAATTAAAGCGACGCGATATATATATATATATATATATATATATATATATAATATATATATATTGGTCATTGCTTCAATCTGTAAACGTCGATAATTCATATAGTGCGCTTTTTTACTTCCTGACGAGCACTAGACGCATGTATATATCACGATAGGGAAACTGGGTCGGTCATTTTTTTTTCTTTTTTTCATTAATCATTTATCAAACATATAACTAAACTTTTATTTACGTTTTATCGTCAAACGTAACTTGACATAAGGATCAGCTACCAAAAAAACGGGTTGATCGATATGAAATAGTGTATTAGCCAGATAGTAAATTAAAAAGAAAACTCTGATCTTTTCTTACGTTTGTTAGAATTCTGCGAATAAATTATAAAACTTACTCCGCCCCCGACCCTGAAAAGTACTGCACTTTAGCACACGTGTGACTTATAACAATTCATTTTTCATACACGATGTAATGTCATCTATCATGCAAAAAATGCTTGGACTGCCACGATATATGTTTTGTACTTTTATATACAAAAGAAAAAAAAGAAAAAATGTAATTGTAAGGTATGGAATACAAGTAAGACATTATATATCATCCACACGACACAGATATCTCTATTCAATTTACAGAAATACAAGGGCATGGTGTGCAAAGGGATACCAAAGCAAAGAAATATCCGACGAGTATTGTCGGCACGTTAAGAAATGCTAATATAAAAGAAATTTTATAAAGCTATTCACAGAGATTCAGTTGCGTCGATTTAATGATTTATTTGTGAAAATAGAAATGACGGAAAAGTGAAAAAGAAAGAAAAAGAAACAAAATGACTGATCATGGAAGTGGAAGCATACATTAAAATTTTTTGATTTAACAAGATTCATAATTTTGAATCAATCGATTGTATTTATGTTTTAACTATGAACATTCCTCCCTTGTCGCACAAGAAATAATTTTGCCATATTGTATTATCTGAAGTGCTTAAGTTTTTTGCGTATTAATAGTTTAATTAAGTTGTATTTGTACCTGTTCGATCATCATAATATAGTGTTATGCGTAAACAAAAGAGTCTGTTTCAATAGATCGGACGACGTGTGTAAGTGGTGTTTCACGATACGATTCGTTCTCTGCGTTGACGTTCTCAGCGTCGAGGATTAATAGAGAAACTTTGAAAAATGCTTTTTTCTCTAAATAATACTAAAACATATGTATGTTATAAAAAGGGAGTTATTTATTTTTAAACCACGAAAGAACAAATTTCAGTTTTATAAGAATACCAAATGGATATGTAAAAGTTCTCTAACGCTAATCGCTACATATCGCATAGTTTACTTTGATTAGTCTTAACACATATGTATAGTGCAACGTAATATAATAACCCTCATATATTTAGTGTAAGTTGTTCAGTTGTTATATTTTGTTGGTTAATAAAAATATAGCTGCAAAATTATGTACACATATATAGATATATATATATATAAATTTTGTTAATGACGATAGAGATATACGTTGAAAAGTCTGCCGGAGTAAATGTTCGAAAACGTTAGAATTTAATTGACTCGCGTAGATAGTGTTATCGTCGATCGTGATAATTATAAAATTATCGAGAAAAAGATTAGAATCCGGCGAGTTAATTCGAAAGAGTAAATAGGAAGATATACTACGTTATCGACGTAATCTAAAATCTTATTACCAGTCGAGCATTTTACGGTGGCGCACTCTAAAAGTACGGTCGATAATTTCTTATCCTCTCTGTACAGTTCTCTACGAGAAGACGCGGATGGTGGTGCGATTGAGGAGAGCCTCGCGAGAAAATAGCAAATGGAACATGAACGATCCTTCCTTTTACCACGAATCACCACATTCCGTTTGTTCTCGAACATTAATGAACGAACGATCGTTCGTAGGCCACATTTATTCGCGATAGAAAACTCGTTACGGGCTTTAATTCTCGTCGGTTGATGTATTTCAAGATGGCGACAACTTAAGAACAAACAAAATAGGCGTTGCTTCGAAGTTACGCAGTCGATATTCTTTATCATTAAGAGTCTGGGGTTCCTTCCCGATGATACGCGGACGCAGGCCACTTTGTAGTCGAAGTGAAAGGCGACGGTGAAAGGCGGAGGAAGAGGGAGAGAGAGAGAGAGAAAGAGAGAGAGAAGATAGGACGACTGAAAATGGCCAAGGCGAATGACTCTCTTTGTATCGGTTGTTGCTGAAGAAAAAGCAACGGAGACACAATACGGCGCGGGAGAAAAAGAGAAAGGAAGAGAAAAAGAAAGAAAGAGAGAGACACAAAAGGTGTGCCGGTAGGGCGGCGGTTTGTGCGCGCGCACACGGTCAAGCCGCTACCACGAGAGATTGTGTTTGTATTGTGTGTACGTATCATAAGAGCGATGTGCGCGGTATCGCGTGGCTCAGACCAACTTGGACCGTACATTTGAGCGGGACTTGGTGTTCGACCACGTATTTACCTACGTACATATACGATCGCGCTTTACTGCCAGCTGGAGAGTAGTTGACCTATCTAAAATCAGGAATTAAAGGATTACTTACTGTTTATCCGAACGTATAATAGATTGCCCAGTGGCTATCAATCGAGACTTTTAATTCGATCAAATTCATACGATTTCCTTTGATTCGTCGAATAGAACGGAGGAAGGAAACAAAAATAAAAACAGATAAAAAACAGAATAAAGGATAAAGAAAAAAAAAAGAAACAAAAGAGAGAGAGAGAGAGAGAGAGAGAGAGGGGAAAAAAGAAAAAGAAAAATTTGACGACATGTGCGGTGAGTACTATTAACTTTACAATATTTTTCCTCTTATCGTATATATAACTATACGTGCATATTAAATATACATATGTTTATGTACATATAGACGACGTCGTCTCGTTTATTGGACGACGAAGTGCAATTGAGAAATTATCCTTTGTATCTTTTACGCCATCAGTCCATCATCTCCTTATTTTTTTCCTCCTTCTTTGGCCTCCTACCTTCGATCCTATCGTAAATTCTATTATTATATTTTTCTATTTTTCTTTCTTTCTTTTCTTTTTTGTTTTTTTTTTTCTTCTTCCGAGAAAGAAGGAAGTAGAGTTTCCTATCGCGAAGTAAGACGACCGATCTCCTTCCGTCTCGAGTGAGTTCGGTTTAAATACGAAGGGGAACTTGGGGGACGCTTGGGGAGATCAAAGCTAGTAAACTAGCGGAAAACGTGTAGATAGTAGATAGATAAATGGATAAAGAGAGAGAGAGAGAGAGACAGAGGATTGTCGATGACAGGCGGCGCGTAGGCGGTAAGCTTCATTTTTGTATTTTCTACAGTGCCGCATTAGTAAACGATGCTTCAACGATCACCGAGATTGCGTCTGGCTTAATGGAAGTTTTTTTTTCTTTCGTTTCTTTTTCAAATTTGCGTGTGTTATCATTACTTTATTTTTCTATCTCCCCTCTCTCTCTCTCTCTCTCTCTCTCTCTCTCTCTCTCTCTCTCTCTCTCTCTCTACCCCTCCATCTACTTCTTTTTATCTCACACGTAAGCACGTACTCTTTTCTTTTTTCGATTCTCTTTCTCTATAATATCCCTTTGAGATAATAAAACAACGATCTAAAAGTTTTTCGTTAATTCTGCTTTTATATGTTGCGTTCATTCCACCAACGAGAAAGGAAACTAAATCCTCGCTAAAGAAATTCATTTGGGTCCCCGTTATCTGCGTAAAAACTTTTTCATCTTTTTTTTTTCTTTCTTTCTTTCTTTCTTTCTCGTCTTTTTTCTTTTTCTTCTTCTTCTATTTTTTTATGTCTCGCGTATTAGAAAACTCGATAAGGTAAAGATAAGGTTAACGATATTTCCGCGATCAAAATGGAATTTCAACGCGCTCAAGATTAATTGTATTATATTAATTTTAGGTAAAATTTATAAATGAATATTTCGACGTCAATTTCGTTGCATTGCTCGATGTCTACAATGCATGAATATGTTTCATTTCACGTTGTTTTTAACGAGCCCTATTGACCTCTGTTTATTTCTCGTTTAGAAGATTTCGAGTTGCATTCTTCTAATCTGATTATTATTAATATTATTATTATTATTATTATTGCTGTTATTATTATTACTATTACTATAATTATTATTATAGTTTATTTGGTGCTGTAGATAAGTCTTAATAGATTGTTTAGATCAAGGAAAAGCATTCCTCGATAAATGCGCATTTGGATTCTTATTAATAACTTATCGATAGAGTATATACTATTAGCTAATATAGATATACAAACTTTTGCTATAACGAAGGTTTTAATGAAAAAGAAGAGAAAAAAGAAAAAAAAAAAAAGAGTCGAAGGTGTCGGAATTTAGATAAGAATCAACGACGTTCGCAAAGATAGTAGAAACTTTTTCTTTCTTTTTTTTTTCTTTTTTTTTTTTTTTTTCTTTTTCAAGAACGCAGAGTTGATTACTGCCCCTCGGATAAGAGTCCCCTCGCCCCGTCCTCTTTCTCTTCCTTTTTCTAATTTTTATACTCCGACGCATACTTTATCTTTCTTTTCTCTTTTTCTTTTCCTTTTTTCTTTAAAGTAAAAAAGAAAAGGAACGTAAATATGCGAATGTTGTCTATTCAACGAAGTGTAACTTTTATTGATTAATAGTCGACGTAATGCTTCGCGTAAATTATCGTCCAATGTCGTTCGATGGAAACCTAAGAACAATTAAATTAGAATTATGAACGTACGTACGTAAAGTCCAACCTTCAAATAATATGCAAAATAATAGATGACATTTAATACACGAGAGAGTTTTGAGGACATTTAATTTTTTTCTTCCTATCTTCTTTTCTTTTTTCCTTTTTTTTTTCTTTTTTTTTTTTTGAGATCATCATTCCGAAAGTCTATAAACTTTCTTTTCGACGTTTTATAATAAAATTCCTGGAGAATGAGAGAGAAAGAGAGAGAGTTAAAAGTAATATCGCTACATTACGAAATTAAATTATGTAAGATATTTTTAGTCGTAGTAATAAGATGTTCCCAATCGTTTCTATTACCGGCGAAAGTATTTTATTAAAATTTAATATCCAATGTACTTCACGAAGAAAATAAAATTGAAGCTATCGATGTGGCCTAAAAAGAGAAAGGAGGGAAAGAAAAATTCTTTGGCTCTTTCGTAACATTTGCAATTCGTTATCAATGAAAAAATTCGAGTAAGATGGAAGTGTAATAATTAAATTTTATATACTTGGTATTCTTTAGTCTCTCTCTTATTTTTTGTTTCTGTACACACTCTCTTACTTTCTCTAACTCTAAAGATACATCTTTTTAAAAGGTTGAAATTCCAAAGAGAATCGAAATCGACGACCGACGAAGCTCGTGACCTTTTCTTTAATCAAGTAATCGACGTACGTGCGAATGTACCTACATAGATGGATTGAATAGATGAACGGATGGACGGATAGATGAATGGATGGTTATAAAAATGATATATGTACAAGTGAACTTTCGTTGCAGAAAATTTCGTCATCCGCGTCATCCTTCTTGTGTTTCAAGTTAAATCGAGACGATGGTGTTTCGAAAACATTTCGTATTAAATGAGCACTTTAGAAATATCTAATATTTATTGATAAATAAATAAATAAATAAATAAATAAATAAATAAATATATATATATATATATATATATATGTAGCAGAAACTCGTTTTAGATAGCGTTCGATGTTTCGTTATTAGAATTTAATGAACGGATTTCCTGTGATTGAGAAATAATATTCAAGTTGGAAACTAATATTTTACATTCAACGAACGTTCATTTTTAAGAATACATCTTTTATAACTAAAACTCAATTCGATTCGATGATCGTACAAAAATGTATTACTCGTCAGATAGGTTTTATTTCATTTGAATTTCATATCGTCATGTCCGCGTCAGCCGTCCGTAATTTTTCTAACAAGGATATTGCAACAATAACAAGGATTTGCAATAAAGATCATCGACATCGATGCTAATGTTTTTACCTTTTTTCTTTTTTTTTTCTTTCTTTCTTCCTAGCTTAAAATTTTTCAAAACAAATTTTACATTCGAGGGACAGAAAAGAATCAAGAAGATTTTATTCAAAGGACGGTATAATATGCCACGTTGCAAAGTAGTTATATCTTCGATGGTATTTCGACTATTCGTTGACGTTCGAGATATACAACAACACGATCGAGTGAAAGTTTCCTCGCGGCGTACCCGAAACCGAACGAGCTTGCTACCGTGACATTTAGATTATACACTCAGACAGAGGCATAGAATACAAACACCCTGGCAAACCTCCTCGGAGGACATGGAATTCTTATATTTTTTGCATCCTTTCCTTTCTTTCATTTTTCTTTCCTTCTTTTTTCTCCGTGACTAAAAGAGAATTCGAAAACCAGATTGTTGTTTGTCCAATCCGTTGGAAATTTCGATTGGTCACCGAAATTATTGTCCTTGATCGTTAGACGACGATTTCGAGGAGACGATATTTTTTTTTCGCGAAGAAAAGATGAAGAGAAAAGAAGAAAGAAAGAAAAAGAAAAAAAAAAAAAAGAGAAAAAGAAAATAAAATGGAACAATGGCCGTAACAATCGTAGAGCATTCAAAGTATTTTGTGTCAGTGGGTCGAAAGGTCAAGTTCGTCTATCGGTTCGTCTGGCCTAATAGAAGAAGATCGTGACACATCGTCGTCGTGTTTGCTTCTAACGTCCTAGACCTCCCCTCTTTTCTTTTCGGTCGTTCAACCCCCGTCCCCTCCCCTCTCCCTCTCAATTCAAACCGAAGACAAAGTTGTTCCCTCTCACGAAAAGATTCGAAACCGCTATGCGCGTAGATCGCACATCCCCATGAGATTTGTTCTTTTCCTAAAAATCTTCGGGATTTGCTTTTTGCATTGATGATACTGAGATAGGTGCTCGAGGAAGATAAAGTTAAACTCGTTGAAAACAATCTTGTTGGATTTGATGAGTCCGAATGATTTTTTTTCTAACAATTTTATAATGATTTTATATCTTTTTAACAAGGTATGGTTATCGATCATTTAAAAACCTAACTCTCCTATCTATCTATTGGTATAAAAGAAAAGTAATATCCGGTAAATCATAGTGATTAATCTCAATGTAATCCTTGCGATTAGCGATTGCAGCAATAATAATTATTTCACGATAGATTTTTTCTTTCTCTCAATCGATATGATGACGACGACGCGTTACTATCGATAAGAGACCTATCATTCTTTAACGCAGGGAAGTAGTATAAGAAAATTTCCTTCTATCGTATTACTCGAGTGTGCTAGTACAAAAGCTTTTCAATTGTTACCGATCGACTCAATTGTTAACTACTGGCTCTTCGGACGAAATCGATTAGATCGAGTTAGACGAGTTAGATACGCGGACGAGCACATAGATATTCAACTCGATTATATATTTACTAATTGATCTTTTTTTTTTTCACCTTCGAAATGACCGATGGGGGTAAGTTTCGATATTTTCTTTTATAAGGGGGGGGGGGGGGAGAGAGGGAAAGTACATTTTTCAGAACAAAAAAAAAAATAGAATACAACGAAACACAATTTTAATTTAATTCTCTGGCAAGTAAAACTTTTTCTATTAAAGTAATTATATAGTTTATCTCACAAATGTATTTACCATGAATGACGCTAACAAGGGTCGGCTATCTTTTTTTCCTTAAGGAAAGTCATCCAAAGGTCGTATTGTATACACATTAATATTAGGATAAAATTCATTTAGAAATAAGAACGTAGCGATCTCTTATCGATCGTGTTATTGTCTAGTCTCTTTATCTTTTACGGTCGTATTACTTTTGAATCGATTAGTTAAATTGCATTGTTATAATATTAATAAATTATTTATACTAGAAGGACTATTTCATACATTTACATTTACATTTACATTGACATAGGAACGAAACATGACCAATATAATAGTTTCGGCTAATAGTAAGTCTCCTTCGACACTTCTCGACTTTCCCTTTCACTAACGCATACAAATGTGCCTACAAGATTTGTTAGTTTCTTTCTTTGTCTGTTCTGGTGCTCACAGGTCGCAAAGGTGCTTTACCGCCGTACGTACATACATACTATACGTATCATATATATGTATATACATATATATGCGTAAATACATATTATTAATGCTCTCTCTTTCTCTCTCTCTCTCTCTCTTTTTCTTTTTCTTTCTCATGGGCGTCGGCTTTTTTGCGCTTTGAAAAAAAAAAGCGCCTGCGATTTCACATCGACCTTTGTTCTTTTGCTTTTACGTATTTTAGCCGATGAAATAAAATATATATATGTAAAAAAAAAAAAGAAAAAAAAAAACAGGAGTACCGTTTCCCATTCCGGAATGTTGTCTGAGGCTCTCGCGTTCATTAAATCGAATTCCACTTTCTCGTACTATCAAAATGACGACCTTCGTAAACAGCAGAGATTCGTGATGCAAAAACACTTTGGTCTGCGATCGTTGATTTATTGAGCGTATTCATTAAATATAACAAATGCGTTCGGGAAGAAAAATTTTATGATTTATTTGTTTATTTATTTATTTATTATTTCGTTTTTCCTTAAAAAAGAAAATAGACTTTTATTAATATACACGTGGAAATGACATATCGAATTTTATTTGTACAAAGTAATGCGAATCCTTGAAAGCTTAATCCGGACTTCCTTAATATTGCGATTGTAAATTTATATGCAAACGAATGGAATATAAAAATACGTTCGCAAAATGAAACTTTATTAATTATTTTTCTTTTGTTCTTCTATTTTAATTTTTCTTTCTCTTCGAAAATATATTTTTTTAATACATCTACTGGATCAACCAACGTATTCAATTTTATCTTCACAAAATAACGTGTTTGAATCCATTATTAAATTTTAGTCCGGGATTCCTTAATATTGCGACCGTAAATTTGTATAGAAATGAATTGAATATAATAATACGTTCGCAAACAAAAATTTATTAATTTTTCTCTTTGAAAAAAAGAGGAATATATGTATTGTATATATATATATAATTTTTTTTAATATATAAACTAAGTCAATGCATTGAATTTTATTTTTGCTAAATAAAACAATTTTGAATTTGTATCATAGAAAGTCTGATTTAGAGTCTCTTAATAAGCGATATCATTCTAAAACAACACTCTAAAAGTTGGCGCAGCAGCGAATTGTACGGGTCGATATTCGAGCTCTTTCACGCTACCCCCAATATACATACGCGTACACGAAAGTATAAACTTACACACACACACACACACACAAATATATATATATATATATATACAAAATACATATTTCACTAATTATAGATTCACTGATTTACAGGAATATTCGCTTACCTTAACTATCTAACGCCGAAAAGTAGGAAGGAGATTTTGGAGCTTCTCGTAGGTGGATTGAAAAGATTGGAATACCGTGGATATGATTCTGCAGGTAATTAAATAAATGAATAAAATAATTATGATAATTCTTAATTGAAAATTTAAATGAACAATATATTGAAATAAAATGAAATGAAATAAAAAAAGAAAAAAAAATGGCTATAAACATATGTATGTATTTATAATGCGCGTACTACATAACTATAGTAATATACGCGATATAAACTTTTATTTTGTGGTTTAAGCATTAATATTTGTAACATGTAATAAGATCCATCGAATGCAACGCGTGTCCTTGGTTTTCTTGTTCAGTTATTTAGTAATAATAAATGGGACCAACCTCGGTTTGCCTTCTAGAGACTCGTATTGCGGTTTTACAATTTTTCGGATCGAATTTCTCGTTCGATCCACAACGATTAAACGGCGTTTTAAATAATAATAATAATAATAAAAAAAAACAATAATAATAATAATAATAAAAAAACAATAATAATAATAATATAAAGTGATACGTAGATATGTAGGAAATCATATTAAATTAATTTTCAGGCGTTGCCCTTGATTCAGCCGGAGGGAAAGATATTTCCATCATCAAAAAAACTGGAAAGGTCAAGGCACTGGAGGAGGAAATCTTTCACCGTAAGTGGCGACATTTGTTTGTTTATTTTTTTTTTCTTCTCCTTCTTTCACCATTGAAGGACGTTTTACCTTATTTATCGACATGCACATAATCGCTTTGAACGGGGGAAAATACTTGTCCTTTCTCACATACAACAGTCCGCGTTTGCTATTAATAGTCAAAGAAGCTATTTACGTACTTCCATTCATCAAGTCGTTCTTTTTTAATAGCTTTTTTTTCTTCTATGGCACATTGCAGGTACCGATGTTGATTTTGAATCTAAAACCGATAGTCACGTTGGCATTGCCCATACGCGTTGGGCTACTCACGGTGTACCATCCGAAGTGAATTCGCATCCTCAACGATCCGATTTCGAGCATAGCTTTGTCGTTGTTCACAATGGTAACATTATCGTGTTTATTAATTTTTAAAAGAAGAAAATAATATTGGCTTTTCTATCGTAAAACATTTTGTCAAATCAGGTATCGTGACGAATTACAAAGAAGTAAAGACCTTGTTAGAGCAAAGGGGATACGTTTTCGAGAGCGAAACCGATACCGAAGTGATTGCCAAATTAATTCATCATCTTTGGAACATTCATCCAGGATACTCTTTCCGTGAACTTGTAGAGCAAGTTGTACAACAAATCGTAAGTTCTGTTATAATGTAATTATAAGAAATATTATTTACATTATATTAATAAGTTCATTCATAGTTATTATCATACAATGGTAAATAATAGTTATTAACGTCTAAATGTTGACACGCGAAAATGATTTATTGTGTTGATACAAACGAATGACAAAGATGCTCAAAGAAAATGGTTTTGTCGTAGGAAGGGGCATTTGCATTATGTTTCAAGAGCAAACATTTCCCAGGCGAGTGCGTAGCTACAAGAAGAGGCTCGCCTCTTCTCGTTGGTATCAAAACGAAAACAAGATTGGCCACCGATCACGTGCCCATTTTATATGGCAAAGGTGAGTCGTATGGAAAGAACAGTTTTTCCTTCTTTATGGCAAATGAATTTAAAACGTCTCAATAATTGTACGAGATTAAATATCGAAACGATGATAGACCACCAACGCAGGATCAATAGTTGCGAGAGATCGTGTCATAGTAAATATGATGCGCTATTACTTTTTTTTTTCTTCATCTCTTTTTTTTCATTCTTTCTTTCTTTCCCCTTTTTTCTTCTTCTTCTTTTAATCGAACCTCTTTGCTCTACGATTCGCGTTTCCATTCGATCGCCTATGATAATTTGACATTGGTTAAAACAAAGGACAAAGGTGAGCCGTTCCAAAAGGTGAGCTGTTTTACCAATTAATAATAATTTATTATAAAAATGTATTTACAGATTATTTTTTTTTTCTTTTTTTTTTTTTTTTTAATACGACAAAAATTAAGTAGTACTTTATTTAGATATAGCTTTATATAACTTGGATCGAAGATAATCGATCATCGGATAATGATAAATTTCGACGATCATCATTTGCATGTAATCTAATAGTTAATACAATTTTTTCATGGGATTTCATTTTCCATTAACTTTGACTCGTTACTAATAGAACACGCTTCTTCTAAACACGCGATTACCAAAGAAAATGACAGTGCTAACGTGATCGTCTCGATACATCTTATTGAAAATAACGATTCTCTTTCGTATTTCGTAAAGTAATAACTCTATATCCTTTTTGTAATATATTTACGTATACAGCTAGTATGTAGAGGAGTATAACGTAAAAGTTGATATGTGTGTGTTTCTTAACATAGACTAAAGAAATTGATTCGTTATCATTTGTTAAGCTACGTTGTTTTTGCTGCGTTAGATGTAAGAAATTAACAATTTGGGATTCTCTTTATATCTTATTTATTATTATTATTATGATTATTATTATTATTATTATTATTATTATTATTTATTTTTTTTTTTAATTAATCAATCTCAACAAAATGCATGACAAATAATTCTCGTTTTTATAAAAAAAATCTTTATTTATTTATTTGTTTACTTACTTCTTCTATTTTTATTTCTTCTTCTTCTTCCTCTTTGTAATTTTTATATATCGTCAATCGCACGCAGACTTCTTCTCCTCGAGTGAATTTTTAATATGGATATTATACGAGTGTTTCTTTTGCATGAACATCTTCTTCCGGTTTTGTTCTACAACTTTTCATCCCAAACAGATGACCCACAACCCGCGAGCAAAGGTATATGTTCTCAATATAAATAACTCTGTTTTGCTCTGTAGACAGCTTTGGCTTGATTATATATACATACATACATACGTACATACATACATACATACATACATACATACATACATACATACATACATACATACATACATACATACATACATACATACATACATACATACATACATACATACATACATACATACATACATACATGCATACATACATACATACATACATACATACATACATACATACATACATACATACATACATAGATACATACATACATACATACATACATGCATGCATACATACATACATACATACATACATACATACATACATATATACATGCATACATGCATACATGCGTGCATAGGTACGTATATATTTTACATTTGTATGTATGTATATCAGGGGTCCCCAAACTTAACGACAAATGATGATTCATGTGAGAGTTTTCGAAGTAACAGACCGGACGGTTAGAGACATGTCCTTATATTACTTACAGGTATTTCAATGTCCAAGAAAAACATCCGCCGGTCAAAAGAAAATCTTTGATGCTCTAGTTTGAGGATTCCTGGCATAGAGTCGAACTCCATTAAGGAGGTCGCAAAAAAAAATATATTGCGAACCCTTACAAATTTTATTTATTTTTTTTTTGTGTTATACTTTTAGTAATCCTTGGAATATTCGTTCTGTGTTACTCGAAGCATACTCGCCTGCTGTGTCCTTTTTAACGTGTGTTTTATTTTTCTTATACATATATATATTTTTTTTTTTTTTTATTTTTCATTTTGTACATATCTAATTGTCATGTGTATATATATTTTTTTATTATTTTTCTTTAAATTATGTTATACTTTAGTTCGTAATACCTGGTATTACTCATTTTTACTAATGATTTTGTTTTCTTTTTCGTTTCCCTCTCTACAATCCAATCCGTGCAGAAGGTGACACGTCGTCTCAAGGTATATCATTTTTTCATTTAAGTTTATGCTTCTATCGTTGCTTATTTGTTTGTTAAATTGGTTAAGGGTAACATTTCATATTACTGGCCGACCATGGAAAATGCACGAACGACTATGTACTTAATTGGCCGCTAGTAACCATGATCTCACAATTACGCGCACGTTTTGGTTCCTTACATGATTGTTTCATGGCTAAATGATGTTAAAAGGAAAGTAGTCATGATTGGTGAGTTTTTGAAAAATAAAAAATATCTATGTACTCCTCGTGGTACTCTGTTACATGTCGGTATATTACGCTTCGTTTCATCCGATATTGCTGTCACTAATCGGTGAAGTATAACACACTGAATATACATAAAACGTTTAAGCATATTTTGACAAAACCTATACCGGTTAAAACTATGAAAGCGATATATGCGATATATTATACTATTAGACACATATATATATATATAATATATACATATATCGTTGAATTATGCCTGTCACGTTACGAACCAGCCTGGTGTTGGGCTTCATGAAAGAAGGAAAGCAGCAGAACGACAAAGTAGACTAACTGGTAAATTATTATGCTCTCTCTGTCTCTCTCTCTCTCTCTCTCTCTCTCTCTCTCTCTCTCTCTCCCCCAACTCTATTGGTAAATATATGGAGAATATACCCATCGTTTACGTGTAAACGGTACTTTAATACATTGATTTCCCCTTTGCTGGTATACGTACGTACATATGATCGTTTTAAATCGTTTACACGTCGTTGAAATTCACAATCGTTTAACAAACTTTTTTATCTTATCTCTAACACGATAACATTTATTATTTCTTCGGTATAAAATATAAAATATCATTTAGTAGGGAGAGAGGAATACACATATGGTAGAAAATTTAACATAAATTGTGAACGGTAAAAGAAGAGGGAAAAAGAGACAAAAAGAAATTAAAAAGTAGAAAAAAAGGTACAAAGTTACTCGATGTACGAAATGACGAATTATGTCGTCTTTCGTGAAGGTGGAAAAAAAAGAAAATAAAAAAGAAAGAAAGAAAAAGAAAAATTCGATCGACTAAAGATAAAAATGATTAAATCTCAGATCATCGTCCTCATGGCCGCAATGCCGAGCTTCCTGTGATACCTCGAAGCGAAAGTACGTCCGAATTTCAGCCTTTGGAAGACAAAGAGGTCGAGTACTTTTTTGCATCCGACGCCAGTGCCGTGATCGAGCACACCAATCGTGTCATCTTCCTTGAGGTAATATTTTCTCTCGATTATTTTTCATCCCTTTCACAAAATACGATTTACGTTCAACGAGAAAATAAGTACAATGTATCGTTTAAAGGACGACGATGTGGCTGCCGTTAAAGAAGGAGCTCTCAGTATCCATCGACTCCGTCGTTACCTGGATGATCCTCATGCGAGAGAGATCACGACCCTTAAAATGGAGATTCAACAGATCATGAAGGGTAACTATCAATATTTCATGCAAAAGGAGATATTTGAACAGCCTGAATCGGTGGTGAACACGATGAGAGGTCGTTTGAATTTCCAAGACAACTCTGTAACATTAGGTGGCATCAAGGTAAAATTATTAATCTTCCTTCGATTACATAAAATAATAAAATAATCTTGAACTTGGCTTATGATATATACATATTTTTTTTAGGACTATATTCCCGAGATAAAGAGATGCAGACGATTGATGCTTATCGGATGTGGCACGAGTTATCACTCTGCCATTGCGACGAGACAACTACTCGAAGAATTAACCGAACTCCCTGTAATGGTCGAATTGGCCTCAGACTTTTTGGATAGAAATACTCCAGTTTTTCGGGACGACGTGTGCTTTTTTATCTCGCAATCGGGCGAAACCGCTGATACCTTGATGGCATTGAGATATTGCAAAGGTCGAGGAGCTTTGATTGTCGGTATCACAAATACCGTTGGTAGTAGTATTTGTCGAGAATCGCATTGCGGTGTACACATTAATGCTGGCCCTGAGATCGGTGTGGCCAGTACAAAAGCATACACTTCTCAGTTTATTTCGTTAGTAATGTTTGCATTGGTCATGAGCGAGGATAGAATCTCTCTCGGTGCGAGACGTCAGCAGGTACTTGTTTTTTCTCTCTTTCTCCTTTCACCTCCATATCCTCATTCGAATTAAGATATGATCGCAACAGAGACTTCGAAGAGATTTCATTGACGATTTATATTTGAAATAGATCATAGAGGGATTGAAGAATTTGGACAAGCTGATTCGGGAGGTTTTGAAATTGGACGACGAGGTGAAGGAATTGGCAAAGTCCTTGTTCCAACATAAGTCTCTTTTGATCATGGGTAGGGGATATAATTTTGCCACGTGTATGGAAGGTGCCTTGGTAAGCAACGATTAATCTATCTTCATCTTTTGGATAATGTTTATTTTCATTTGTTGTTTCTTTTTTTTTTTTTTTCGATTCGAAGAAAGTGAAAGAATTGACCTACATGCACAGCGAAGGAATTATGGCGGGTGAATTGAAGCATGGTCCCTTGGCTCTGGTCGATGATTCGATGCCCGTAATCATGATCGTTATGAGAGATCCTGTATACGTGGTAAGTTCGTCGATCGATCGTGTCTCTTTGAATCTTCCTCTAATACGATTATTGTTTTATTTTTAGAAATGCATGAATGCTCTACAACAAGTAACGGCGCGCGAAGGCAAACCTATCGTCATTTGCGAGGAAGGAGACAAGGAAACGAAATCCTTTGCGTATAAGGCACTCGAAATACCAAAAACTGTCGATTGCCTACAGGGTATCCTTACTGTCATCCCTATGCAATTGTTATCTTTTCACATTGCCGTTTTACGTGGCTGCAACGTTGATTGTCCACGTAATTTGGCAAAATCCGTTACCGTCGAGTAAAGGCTCATTAAATCGATCCTTTCGACGAGTAGTTAAGCAGATGGGGGGAGAGAGAGAGAGAGGGAGAGATAGAGTGAGAGAGAGTGAGAGAGAGAGAGAGAGAAAGAGGGAGAGATAGAGAGAGAGGGAGAGAGAGAGAGAGAGAGAGAGATCGTGCGACGAACTTGAACTTTCTAATCTTTCAAAAGCACAGAGTATTTATCCATCGGCAATAAATGATCATTCCGATCGTTTGTTCGTATTATAGGACTCGTTTTACGATTATAAAATAGGACAACCACGTTGTCGTTTATAAGGATAACAAATTTTTCATGATTCTTTTTCTCTCAAGGACCAACAGGGCTGTGCATTTAATCGACGCGTCGAGTTCGAAAGTAATTTTTCAATGGCGAATCGAACGTATATAATACGGTTGATTCGAATCTCGGGTATAATGCAATATGATGAAATATGATATAGAATACTTTCGAGTTACTGTACCGACGATACGACCAGGATTTTGAATACTTCGTAATAAGTAAGCGAACGAACCAGAGCTGTGGGATCGCATAAATTTATAAGAGAGAGATAAACATTCTTTTACATTTTCCATTTGTACGAGGGAATAATTTCAATTATTGCATTTACGGAAATAAGAAGACTGTATAATCCATAAATCGTTATTATTCTTTGTTTCGTACGACACATGTGATATTATCGATTAGAACGTGTTTTATGAGAGACTGCGAAAAAGATTTTTACACTCGAGGCGATCGTTACGAAATCCTCCGTAGATCGGTCTTTTTATGTCACATTGAAAATGATTTTGCATAGGTACGCGAGTTTATTCGAAATTATAGCCAAATCGTTCGTACGATTAAAATTGATCGTTGAAATATCTCATGTCATCCCAATTAATTACCGATGAAAGGCTAACTCATTACGCGTTTGAGCGGACAAGGTAGAGTAAGAGAGTTTTTAAGTAATTATATAGATAAGTCATTAACAAACACGAGCGTAGACGTAGAACGTCATTTTATACCGAAAACAAATTTTCACGAATATAAGACGGATATATAGCTCTTATCGATTTTGATCCCCTAATAAAAAAAAAAAAAAAAAAAAAAAAAAGACGGACCATTACGATCAGACGATTTTGACTCTTTTGTATGTGGGAAAGAATTTCACGAATTTGTTGTATTTTTAAGTGATTCCTAT